AGACTACACATTTACATGTCATCACATTTCTTTGACAACTAATATCATTTAAAGGAAACCCAGGCAAAAGTACAAACTGTGAAATGTGCGGGGACCTATGGAAAAGCAGAGCTTGTAAATAATAGGTTCTTGGGAGACTTGAAAAAAATGACAGGGACAGAATATGTTTATTGTAGAGAGAAGTACACAATTGTGCTCAGAGCATTACCAGAAAGATGGACCAGTATATACACAATTGTTTTTTGAGAAAATGTAGGGCGTAAACGGGGGATGTGAAATTCATTCCTTTTCCTGATAGGGTATGAATAAATATCCAAATTCTTAGTGAAAAGAGAAGCAATATAATCAGGCAATTTATTTGTTGTAAGTTGATACATGAAAATACCCAAATTATAGAGAAATATATCGGACACATGTAAACGTAATACCGAACTTATCTTTCCTCCAACACTTTTCTTGCTGAGAGCCAGAGGATGGATGATAATTGCCCAGCACATCTTAATCAAAGGCAAACAAAAACAATCTCTATTCTCTCATTAATCAGGTACTTATACCCAAATTTAATTTTCGAATATCTTTTAAGATTACAGTAGGCTCTGGTCGAGAGAGAGAGGGGAGGGGTCTTAGAAAGTGCTGACAAGCAAGCAAAGAAACGGTGATGTTTAGCGTTGATATACCCCCAATTTGTGACAATTGTTGTTGGACCAAACACCAATTCAGTGGTCATCATCATCTTTGTATATGGTCGGTTTCACATGATCAGTGATCCTTGATATGATATCTGTCTACAGCTTCTCTCCATCAAAGGTGATGTCTATCCTACATTTCTCATTAGAATTATTAATTAAAGCTACCTAATGATGAGCTATGGCATTCTTTTCTTAATTAGGCAGTTGGTCAACTGAAACCGGCCAGTGTATCTGATTGCATCTCATTTTCCCTACTCATGACTGGTTCCAAGCATCATTGTGGCCCTATAACCACCAGTTGGACCTACAAAACATTGGGCCTACAGGTTCTATATCAAATCGGTCCTGCGCACCACTGGTCCTAGCTAGCCACCAGCATCAGAAGCCCCACATGTATAACCTAGTAATAATTAATAAACTAGTCCCAACAATATCAGTGCTCATCATCATCTACACATGGTCAAGGTCGTTAGATTCAGGTGGTCAGCTATCCATGATTTGATGTCCACAGGCTCTGGGGTCGTGATAATCTCATATTTCTAATTAGAATTGCTGTGCTGGAGCATTATTTCATATAAGTAATCGTCATGTGATACCTTCAAAGATTTTTTGTTCTTCTTCTTTTTTTTTTTTTATTTGTTTTATTTTTTCATTTTATATTATTACGTCCCGGTTCTTTCACACCTTTTGTTCTACGCACACTTGGTCTAATTACTTCAGCTAACTGGCATGAGATATAACTGTAATCTACATCAATTGAAAACTAGCCCCGTGATATCAGTGCTCATCACCGTATATGGTCACGGTCGTTAAATTCACGTGTCCTGCGTTACAAATCATAATGTCTCTTCATCATCGGTCGTGTCCATTTTCATTTTTAATCAGAATTAATGAGTTTTAAGGTTACCTCATGCTGTGCTAGCCAGGGCATTTCCTTAATGCTTTTCGATATTCATCCTAGTTCGTCATATATACTCCATTGGCCCTTCGCGCAATTAGTCTTTTACGCACCACGGGGCCTACTTCGTTAGCATTCGAATAGAAGGCGCTCAAGTGAAGATGAAAAGTGACCCAAAATCAAAAGACCATCAATGACTCCATGGTATGGTCAAGGCGGTTAGGATCACGTGACCCCCAATCTATGACCAAACGTCCATAGCATCATTGGTCAGATCACGTCCATCTCATCCATTTCTAATTAGAATTAATGAGCTTTGACGATATTCTCGTTCTATTTCTTGGCATTTCCAACTAGTAGTTGATCAACTGTAACCTCCCAGAGTTTTCGATTGCACACAGTTTGTCTAATGCATTATTAATCATACACGCTCTGTTGGTCCTACGATAACATGTGTTGCTTTGATACTGTGGGTTGTATGACACTTGTGCCTGCGACAATTGCTCCCCAATATTTTTCTACACAAACCGAATTTCTAACTTAAGTCCTAGAACCAACACTTAACGTAACGTAACAAAGTCCTTTTCTTTCATTTCTCTTCCCATTTCTATATTCTCCATGCGATGGGGTTGGTCATTTACTCCCTCCCCCCCCCCCCCGGCACCCCTGTAGCTACACCATTCCTCCTTCTCTCTATTTGTATAATCTCTTTATAATACATTCTCGCACCATTTCACCTGAGCACATTTCCATATGTGTGCATTAGACCGACTGTTGTTTCATTAACAAAAGGTGGATGGATTATCAATAATACATAGTCTGATAATAATGTTGACGTTACCAAGAGAAAGAACGGCACACAGTTTTTTCCAACGGATTATTGGTCCTACACACTCTGTTGGTATGTACTACGATAACATTAATTATTACTTCTAGATTTTAGGTTGTACGACACATGCTTCCTGCGACAATAATTGCTCCGCTATAATTTCCAACATTAACCAAATTTCTAACTTAAACCCCGGATCCACCACTAAACGTAACCCCAACGCTTACCCTAAACCAACCTAAAACTGAATTGCAACCCTAACCTATACTTTTTGACGGAATAAAGCTCGGAGCAATTGTCGCCGGTGCAAATATCGGACTACCGTATCATGCCCCCTTTATGGATTAAGAAGTGAGGGCTAGGGTAACTCTAACCCCAACCCTAAACCTAATATAATCACAAAAGTAATCCTCAACCTAACCCTAACCCTCAACCAATCACCATAACGGTTATACATGCTGTCTTTTAGAAGGTCCGTAATTCCGACGGTTCGTAATTAAGAAATGGCGTATGGAACCCCGCCATGTCGTTTTTTCCGGAATTACAGTCCTTGTGAATATTAAACCTATATGTCATTTTTTGAATTATGAACCCAAATTAATTTTCGGATTAGGAGCCTACAGAAAAATTAATCCTATTTAATCTAATTTAATTAATCCCAACCATTGGTTGCTGGTGTGTATTTTAAATTCAATGTTAAATATGATATTGTCCCATTTTACGTTTCTAGAATCACATAAATGGAAATGTTATTCTAAAATGAATAAATGGCGGATTGATATAAACGATACACCATTACCCACATTGGATTTTATCCTTCAAAATGATACATTTTCACTTCCTGACAATCGAAGATAATCAAACAAAATAAAGTGCCTTGATAAATGAATCGGAACGACCATGGTCGATACATTTCACTAGCTTTCGTTCGCTATCTAATTCCCAAGAGTCTGAGCTAGAAGTAATTTATTTCAAAACGAGAATCAAATCCAATTCCCACACAATCGGATTCACTACAAGATACAGAATCCAGTGGGATTTGGAAGGACTAGAAATAATTACATTTCAAAATATTCGTTAAATCAAGCATAGCCGACCACCTTTGTTTGTTCTTGTTGTTGTATTTATTTGGCGCAGGAATTTGAAAAGCAGATGAAAATCTCATTTAGGAATCGGAATACTTTTCTACGACTGTATAGGACAAAATAACGTTGATGGTCAGTTATTCTCGTCTTGTTTTGTCTGGAAGATAGGCCTACTGAATAATAAACGACTCGAAGTGTCTCTCGACGTGCAGACCATCATGCAGACGCTGCATGCATTGCTTGAGTTTTAATATCATCGATTTAAAATCAATGTAGCCAGATCAGCGGCATTCTTTAAAAACTGCATTATTGAATAAACAAATAATCATTGAATAAATAAAAACATCAGTTATATTATTAATTGCTTGACGCGGAGAATGAGGATGTTATCAATAAGTTACGTCAACATTAAAAATGTTAATTGAATTTGTTTCCAAAAATTCTTGCTGCAAGTCGGCGATTCTGAAAATATGCTTTTGATCATATCACAATACTGTTCTTACGTACTTCTTCACATGGCCTGAAATTTCATTTCAGGTACGACCAGAAGGGTAGTTCAGACTCGTTGGAAAGAACTTGTTAGGGACCTACTCGATAATTTCAGTTCTATGTTATAGATCTTATGCTACGTTTACACTATGTTCCCGGCGGCCACGGCAACCACGTTTCAGGCCACCGTGGACGAAACGGGATTGACGTGACGCAACGCGGGGGACCGTATGGGCAAACGTGACAGGCCGTGATTGCCGTGTCAGATTTTTAAACTGTCAAAAAATTTGCCACGACAGTCACGGTGCGGATGAGAAACCTAGTAGGCCGTAATAAACCGGGGTGAACGTAACAAAACGTGACAGTCCGTAATAGGCCGTAACAAAACTTGGGGGTAGTCCGTAGTGGGACGGTTTAATCGCCCGGAACGCTACGGCGCGTTGCGTTCTACTACGGTCTGACACAACGCGAGGTCTCAGGATACCATGATTGCTATTGCTTGGGAGACCTTCTTTTTATACCGCCGGCACAAACGTGCTCCAAAGCTGCCCTGCGTCCACGTTTCATCCGTACAAAGGCTTGACGAAACGTGAAAAACGTGGTAGACCTTGATCAGAACGTGAGAAATGTGAGGGACCCCATCAGAACGTGACGGACCGGGAGGGAACGTTCTGGCATCCGTGGTAGAACGCGGGCCGAACCGTAGTGCGCCTTGGAGCCTCCGGGACTCAGCATCCCCTTACCCCCACGGCCCGTCACGGATACCGTGGTAGACCGTGAGAAAACTTGGCAAGACGTAACAAAACTTGAATCCAGAGATAAAATTGGTCTAAATCCCACGGCGCACTACGTTTCGGGCAAACGGGGCTGCCGTGGCCGCCGGGAACATAGTGTAAACGTAGCATTAGACCTACTGTAGCACAAGCGTGACATAATATATCTACAGATGTAAATATAGATAACCAACCAATATTGTAAAGAGATTTATTTTCTATTTAATTTCAGGTACGACCAGAAGGGTAGTGCGGACTCCTCAGAAGGAACTATCTCGGGACCTACTCGAAAACTACGGTTCGGTTTCTCTGAGACCGGTCGCTAATATCTCTCAATCCATCCAAGTCTACTTCCGGATACTCATCGCTCAAGTCATTAGTTTTGTAAGTACCTGTACTCATGACGAAACGGGAAGGGAGTTATGGGAGAGGGGGAGGGGGAGGGGGAGAAGGGAGACGGGAGAAGGGGGGGGGGAGGTGGCGAAAGAAAGGGGAGAAGGAGCGAGGAGTAAACTGGAAATTGAGGGAACAGGCAAATTTTGATAAACAGAGCGAGAAAGAAACGGGAAGAAAACAAAAGAACATAAATGGTTTCAAAAGGTGATTAATGCACACACGAGATTGAGAGAGAGAGAGAGAGAAAGAAAGAGATAAATAAAAAGAGAGAAAGAGAGGGAAAAGAGAGTGAGAAAGAGAGAGAGAGAGAGAGAGAGAGAGAGAAGGAGATGGAAAGTCAGAGCTGACAGTCAAAGGCCAGCAATAATTAAAAAGATGCAAATGGGGTATAACGCGAGGGAGAGAAGGAGAACCGAGTGAAAGAGAGAATTAATAAATTAAAGGGAAAACAATTGCTTCAATCATTTTGATTAAATCCTGTGATTTGCGACCGCTTTAGATACATGGTTTATTTTAGTATTCAGCTTTAGAGCCAATATGCATTATGAATTTTGATGCCGATAAAATAAAAATTAATAGCCTTCCATTCTTAATAATCTGTATTTAAGATAATCAAGTCTTCATTGATGTTACTTTTTCGTAATCTTAGAAAAAATAATGTACTGTAATAGCTGACGATGTCATGATGCGTCATTCGTGCATCTCGCGCTACCTAATTACATCATTATATTGGTCTAAATTGGAATTTTATGAAATGGGGGAGGGAAATCTAGATCATCATCTCGAATAACACGACCGTGGTTCCGATTATGACCTCATTTTATTAAATATTTACGACCGGATAAAAGGGGGTGCGATCATCCAAAAATTGGAGCAGGAGTCATTTAGCGATGCCGCATTGAAGATGGTTAATTCATTGATGATTAAATTCACATTAACGTATTCTCTTTGACCGTTGACTTGATTTAGGAGATGATAGTGAAACATGGATGTTGATCATATATTTGTATATTTGTATTTGCATTTATGTTCATTTTCCTTTTTCACCCTACTCTTTTCTCTACCCCCCCCCCCCACCTCCCCCGCCCCCTCTGCCCCCCCCCCCGCCGGTCACTCTCTGTCTGTCTGTCTGTCTGTCTCTTTCTCTCCTCTCTCATCTCTCTCTGTCTCACTCAATCTCCTCCTCTTTCTCTCCTTCTCTCTCTCTCTCTCTCTCTTTCGCTCTCACTTTCCTTCTCTCTCCTCTCATTCTCTCTCTCTCTTTATCTTTACAATTGTATTACTATATATTGTATATCATAATTACTATGTAATGTATACATATATCCGGGGGTTTTGAGTGACCACACCACAAGCATCGTGCTTTTAGGGAATGTTGCTTCTTTCCTGCATTGTAATTTCATATTTCATTGTATGTTCATTTTGATTTTAAGAAAAAAAATAAACATTTATCGATTGAACAAAAAATATTGAATTGATGACATGTTGCCATATTTTGCAACTTATTGATAATCACCAATTGCTGAAATGAAAAACGGTTGTAGCATTAGACATAGTGCATACATATATACATGTTTATGTAGAGCTTCGCGATCCTTCTGCTATTGTAGTGTATCTATCTCAACTCGTAAGCCCCGAATACGATGCGAAGTTATAATGATATGCGAACTACTGTATGATATGTATATTTGTAGAGCGAGAGTGGTCATTATTTTATCGTAGTTACAGGTTGTTGCACAGAAGTCATGCTTCGCCAAACACGCCAAACAGTTTGTATCATTAATGCCTCGGGAACTATATCCCAAATCATAATGATCATGTGAGAATCGCTTTTCGAAACGAATGGGGTATACATATGGTAGGGGCACCGTGATATATTGGAGAAGGCTCTCTCGAGAGTTCCCGGGTTCGATACTTGCTCAGTACTTACATCCTCGGACAATGCATTTTCCCCACGTTTGTCTCTTTCGACCCAGGTGTTCTTCATGGGTACCTGTCAATGCTTGGGGAGGGGTAATGATGATTGCAGGGTCCACAGGAAGAGCAGTATACATACAGGGGGAGGGGGGGTGTGTTTCACAAAGATCCTAAGTTGAACTTTTCTCTAAGTTGGACCCTGAGTACATAAGAATAAGTTAGTTATATTAATTACCATCATCTCCATATACATTCCAAGAATATGTACCATATTGACTTTCATGATGGTAATACTTCTTAAAATTCAGCGCATCATCATGATAAAGGTAACAATTTGCTGTGGAAAACTTATTCAAAATTCATCATATCAAAGATGTTATTGCTCTGGTAACATCAAAAAATTATTAGATTATGCATTACTGATCATCCATCCACCTTTTGTTAATGGAATAAACAGTCGGTCTAATGGAGACATGAACTGGTACTCAGGTGAGATGGTGCGAGAATGAAACAGGGAGATTGTTATGTAGACAAAGCAGCTGCAGGGGTGCCGGGGGTGGGAGGGGGGGGGGGGTAAATGACCCACCCCATCGAAACAAATGGTGGAAATAAAAGAAAGGGTATTAGACAAAGATGATATGGAAGCAACATGACAAGAACATTAATCCTATCTTCCTAAACCATTCCCTCACTTGAAGGCTCTGTTTCCTCGAATTTCATAGACCTAGTATATCGACCCCCCCCCCCCCCTTTATACCTCCGTGACATCAGTGTCCCTCTCTATCTGCACTCACTCCACACCTCTGATAAAGATATATATTTGGGAATATCATATTTTATTCATTTTCAACTACATTCTCAGTACCATGAGGATATTATATAAGGATATTTACATAGTTTCATTATTTTTTTTTTTTTTTTATATCATTCCTTCTTCTACAACATGTTCCTATCTTTAGTCCATTACAATTATTTTCATCTTCTTCCGCTATTCATTTTCTATGTACTTGCTCTGTATGGAGTGTCGTTATGGGATAAATCTGCCTCACTGAATAAATGGTCTAATTCGGGAAAGTTTATGGCTAGTCATTAAAACCGTATTTTTGCAGTGGACGAAATTATAAAAACAGAAGGTCTTGTGTTTTGGCTAATTCATAAACACGTGGGGTAATGTGTTTAGTAATAATCGCAGAGCCCGCAGGAAAAGCAGGATTAACAGTAATTTGGCTACCTTGTACCATGATTAGGTTCATGCTTGTACCAGGGATCAACATCTCCACACATTCAAAGAATCTTTACTATTATGATGTTCATGATGGTAATTCTTCTGATAATTATTCAACCCATCATCAGGAAGCAAAAAACAAAAAACAATTTGCTGTGGTAAACATACGTCATACCGTATTACGTCTTCAAAGATGCTCCTGCTCTGGTAAATATATCAAAATATTATCAGATTATGTATTATTGATTATCTATTCACCTTTTTTTAATGAAACAACAAGTCGGTGTAATGCTCACAATCAAGAAAAGGTCCTCAGGTGAGATGGTGCGAGAATGTAAATAGAAAGAGATTATACAAGATAGAGAGGAGGAGCAACGGTGTACATGTAGCTACAGGGGTGCCGGGGAGGGGGGTGTGTGTGTTTTCGATATCACTAATACGAACAAACAGGGTCCTCGAGTGATAGAATGGTTAAATAAGAGAGGATAAATCTTCTTTTCATGTTGCTTCCCACATCCTATTTGTCTATTACCGCTTCTTCTAGTTCCACCATTCGATGCGATTGGGGGGGGGGGTCATTTGCCCACATGTCAGTGTCCCTCTCAATATCTACACTCATTCTGCCTCACTGATTAAGATATGTATGTTTGTGAATACTATATTGTGAATATTATATTTATTCTGCTTTTACTTCGTTCCCCGTGATAATGTTGATATCATTTTATTTTCTATTATTTCCTTGCGATTCATTTTGTCTATATGATTCCTTCTTCTACTATATGCTTTCTCTTTTGTTTTGCGTTTCCATTTTCCACTTTCTACTTCGAGTCTCTTTAATACATGCATTATCTCTTCGTCTTCTTCCGCTGTTCATCGTTTAGTCTTGGTAATGCCTACTCTGTATGGAGTATCGCTATAATTATGGTGAAGCTGCCTCACATATTTCACGGTCTGATTACGGAAGATTTACGGCTAATCAGTGACCGATATTTTTGGAAGAATCATGAAATAATAGGTCTTGTTTTTTGAGCAATGCGTGCATGCACTTCCCATTTAGAGGGTCTGTTCTGTTTTTATTCAGAACTATAGAATATTACGGAAGGAAACGATTCGTGCCATGGTATCGTGTAATAATCCAAGGTTAATGAAAAAAGGCTTATTTTGGATAATTACCAAATGAACGGAATAATTACTCCTCGAGTTCAGCGTAAAATGGTTGAGGAAATACTTTTCTATCTCTCGCTCTTTGCTCTCCTCTCTACCAATCTATACGCTCTTCCTTCTGTTTCTGTCTGTATATCTTCTTCTTCTTCCGACTGATGTCTCTTTCTCTCTCTCTCTCTCTCTCTCTCTCTATCTCTCTATCACACACACTCATGTCGTTTTGTCTCTGGTTTAATCGTAAAAGACACGCCCTGAGCCAATTCATTTAAAACGGTCTTGCCTCGCCTCTTCATTGATTTCCTCCCATCTACAAAATCATCTTGCATACCACAAGGCAAATGAGTGCCCACATCAGTGACCATCATCGATGTTAGAATGTGATAATGGAAGTAATATTTAGCTGATTTTATCAACAACAATAACAAGACCTGCACTAGCAACAAAACAAAAACAAAGCTCTCCTGAATCACTATCGTTCTTAATCAGACACTGAAAATGAAGATTGTTTTCAATATCAATGCCCGTCACAAGATATTTTTCGAGCAGAGAATATACAGAAATGAAGAATACGATTAAATGTCGTCATATATTCTAGATTATCTTTCATATGTGTACTTAGATTGATTTAAAACATAATCAATTTAGAATCTACATGATAAGCATACCCAATTGCTATTCATGA